CATGCGGTAGGACAAAGACCCAAAGGTTAGCCACTGCATGAGGCTGCGCAAGGACACCAATGTGGCGACACCACATGTGGAAACGCTCGAAATACAAGGCATTTCTGTGGCTAGGAACTCTTGACTTGCTGAACAGCGCGGTTGATGTATAGAGACGTGGCAAACAGCTGGCCGTGAGCGGCTGGCACTGGAGAAGTGACTTAAAGATTCGCGCGATAGTGAGTGCCTGGGCCTGGGATACAAAAGTTAAGTTTCGCCCAAAATCGAACCAGATTTTATACGAACGGAAGGGCTTCTTCAAGGAGGCTCTCCTCTGCCCTCAGGCGGGGGGAGCTTCCTTGAAGCCCGAGCTTTGCGTCCGATCGTTAGCGGCTTCTTAAGCTCCTACTTACCCCTTTGCTACTTAATCTTACGGCCCCCCAAAAGTTGAAAACGGGATGCTTGCTTGTATATTAATATATAGTTGTTCAGGTTCCAGTTCTACATATTGCCGCGTTGAATGGGTCGAAGCCCAAGCTGCCCCCACAGTCTGGAATACTTGACACTTGTTCTCCCAAACATGAACAGTTTCTTGACACTTGAATTAAAAACAATTTAAAGCATGTGTCACAAATACAGAATCGAAGCAGAATGTCGGCTCCTTGAACTCCTGCACCTCATCCATGCGAACAGACTCTTCCATGGCACCGTGTTGAGCTTCCCATTGAAGGTCTCGTGAAAGTGGGCCTGCTTGCACCTGGCAAAAAGGTGAACAGAAACACAGCAAGGTTCCAAAGCAGCGGCTGGATTGGAATGACAAATGATCAATCCAGTCCAACAAAGGCAACACCGCTATTTTTTGATGCCAAATGCCCCTTACTCTGGTCCTTGAAGGCCATGTTTCGGCCTCGCCAAACCAGGCCAGTGTGGCATCGGGTAGGTGGGCACTTAGCTCAGCCACGGCCCATCGCAAACGTCGATTCTCCAATGACATGCGCTCCTGATTCTCGAGACCGACATTTGCAATTTTTCATTCAAGACCGACCCAAGAAACACAAGAAACCGTATACCTTCTTACAGCTCTCTTCAAGCCAGGCATCATATTCAGCAGAAAGAGAGGACAAGTGCTCGAAGAAGGCTGATTCACATTCATTCGACACAACCTGCCTAAGTGGGGAAGGTGCTTTGGCTAGAAAGTCGGGCAATCGTTGGCGTCATGATCACTTGCTCATCTGCTTCGCAAGCAAGCGGACTCCCAAAATCTCCCAAACAAAAGTAGCTCCCAATGCATAGCAAGCTACACAAGGAAAAATAGGAAGAAACGTAGTTAAGTCTGCCACAGAGCGCGACGGAAGGGGACAGTGTGGAAAAGAAACACGAATCCGAAAGAATAAGCGCACTGTTTGAGTTGAAAACCATCCGACGTTGCTGGAGTCACACATGACTAGTTGGTGATGCAGTTGTGTTGTCAGGAAGTGAAGGCACAAGATGAGCAAGCCACTAACGCTGTCAGTGCTTCAAGAGGTACTTTGCCAAAGGCCGCTGCTCAAACTTGGGAATGTAGAAAGTGTGGTCCAATCTGCTTTAGTCTGTCTGTGAGGCTTGTCGTGAAATCTACCAAAGTGTGGCCTTTAAGATCTTTAAGTGGTCCCTACTGCCTAACATATTGAACGCCTCGGGATTCGGAAATCGGTGTTTAGAATTTGTTGCGCTCTGTGGTTTGAGGCCGGAAAATTTGACCTGGGCTTGACGCAGGCATCGGGCTCGAGTCCAAATTGTCTGTTGCATCCGGCAACTGGCAATGCTGCAACGTCACGGTCGTGAAAGAGCATGAGCCCCAAACCCAAAAGCGCAGGGCAAGTAAACCCCAATCTGGCACAACTATCAAGCAGGTCAAGGCAATGCAGTTGGCGGGACTGGTAAAACAAATGTGGAGATCTGGGTCTTGAAAGCTTTGCATTGGGAGGTGCTCAACCTGATCTGTCAAAATCGCCACCATGCAGCATTCTGAAGTCGATCGCAGGGCTCCATAGAAGTGATGCTGTGAGCCGGGAGATGCCACATGCGCACGTCAGCGTAGAGCTCATGGTCGCTCGATCCTTCTCAAACACCCTCTAAACCATCTCAAACCTTTCCACTGATACGTAGCATTTAATAAAGGATAATGACAGATAGTTCATGATAGTTCCTTTCCCTGCCAGCTTTCGGCCATTCAGTGCAAGTGGTAGAACTAGCACAGATTGAGATTGCACGAAGCACGCCTTTTTCATCCTTTTTCTGATAAGAGTCAGAGTGGTCAGTTTGCGAGTTTACCAACCTCTTTCCGACGTCACATTCTGACGAAAAATCAGGCTGGCTGCAAACTGCAAGATCGGTGAGTCATTGAGTGCAAAATCAAATATGCAGAGACTCCTCCGCCTTCTTGTTCTGGTGCTCTGAAACCACTGGATCTGCAAGGCTCCTTGGAATTCCTTGGTTCCTTCAAGGTCCTTTTCGTTCGACTCCTCGACTCCTAGCCGCCGGCCAAGGCTGCCAGGACGACTCCGAAACCAGATCCGTCTGGATCGTCCCGATCTCATTGCGATGTCCTTTCCTCGTGGAGCTTGGAGCTTTCGGTCTGCAAATTTGCCCGATGTCATCACGCATGAAGCAAAGTTTGATTCTGGACTTTTCGCCCTTCTCAACCATTGGGCAAGGCTGGCAAGATTTTTTGGCGGAAACCTTGGGCAAAGCGCAAGCGGTTCATTGGGCTTTTGAACCGATACTGTGAGACTTTCATATCTGATCTAGGGGAGGGGCCGATGAAAAAGCCAGGAATCAGCAGCTCTGTGTGCTGCCAAAGGGCAAAAGTAAAACTTAAAGTGCGCAAAGTTGAACACCCAGCAAGTTACAATTATGCTGTGCTGACATATAGCTTGACTGGGCTTGACCCGTTCCTGCCTTTACCACGGGCTCAGCAAAGGCATTGACCAACGATACCTGAGGTTTGGATCCTAAATCTGGCAATGCGACAGTGAGACACGCGATGACACACGTCCACCCCTAAGGGTCCAACACTCCAAAGATTCTGCGATGGAGCTGATGCCGGGTTCACAACCTCGAGTCATCCGTCGTTCAGATTCCAGTACGGGTTCTTCTAATTACTTTTAATTCTATTTATTTATTGTTTCTAGTTTCTTGCTCCTAGTAAGGCCAGGAGCCCCTAGTAGCGTCCTTGCTCCTAGTAGCGATGCCCTTTGTTACCAGTAGCGTCTTTGAGGCAGCATCTTCTGTCATAATTTGTCCAAAGTCTAAGGGTTCATCACTGAAAAGCAGAGTAAAGCTTGTCGAGTCAATCACCTGGGAACGTTGAAAGCAACCAACGTCACTAGCAATGGCCTCCAACCTAGAAGCGATAGCCTCGAACCTAATGGCAAAAGGAACCCAAGAGCGATGGCCCGATGGCCTCTAACCTACTAGCGATGGCCTCTGTAACATTCTCGACACCTGCTTTATCTCCACTAGTGTTGCAACAACAGATTTCTGGGCAGGAGGCTGCAGAGGTGTCCAACACCAGGATCAACAAATTGGCCTGGGGCATACGCTGCAAACTTGAATTAGACATGTCACTAACACTGTCACTGCTAAAAACCATTCGTTGCACAGTGTCGCCTCGCAAAGGTGATGCCCGCGTTCCTTTGTCGTAAAAGGATCAAACACATTTGTCGTCCCAAAACACACATGGCGTGAAACACAATTGCCACACACACACATATGCCACACATGCCAGGCCACCTCAGCGTAAGGAAGCTGAAAGGAACAGCGTGTCTCGCACCCACCAGTAATGTCCTCTTTAGCGCGGCCAAGGAGTCTTCATAAAACTTTATCCTCTCAAGAGCTTCTCAAGTTTTCTAGTTCAATAAAGTTCAAATATTTCCTTAATTCCGAGTCGGCACATCTGATCTCCAATCTGCAATTTGATTCAATCTTTTCAGAACTGTTACATCTCTGATCTCCATTTATCTCCTGGAAACGATTGCAAAGCGGCTCGAAGTTCCAAGCACTGGGTGCTTCAATCCGGATCTGCGGACAAGGCTTGATCACATCAGTTGACGAATCCAGAAATTCAGTGCACACCATGTAGGTGGTTTTGCTTTACCCCATGGCTACACAGGTCAGCAAACTCCAACTAGATCGGTAGAATGAAGGTGAAATACAAAGGCACAGGGAAGTAAGTCAGATGTTTCGGCAGCCTTTGCTTTTTTTGATGACTGCAGTCATAGCTGCTTGAGTTTGGGGTGAAACTGTGAAACCGACCAGGCACTGAAAGCACCTTAAACCTCACAAAAGAAACACCTCAAAGCATCTTAACGTGACGGACGTGACGTCACAAAGGTACAAACTTCATGCATGAGCCCGTGATCAGGCACTCAACAAGGCTGCCGGGGCCTGTCCTTAGGCAAAAGCGTCATGGACACGTCTTTTCGAGAACAAAACGGAGAAGGGCCTATTACTTTTTTAAAGGGGGGGTAGGCCGTAGAGGTAGTAGCTAGGTAGCTAGTAGAAGAGGTAGCTAGTACTTAGGACGCAGGATGGCTCACGCTTCCTTGAAGAAGCGTTCGCACTATTCATTTGGTTCCTAGAGTTTTAGGGAAACTTAACTAATAGCGATGGCCTCCAACCTACTAGCAAGGCAAGGCCCCTATAGTACACTTCCCACTGAAAGGCCTTACCTTCCTTTCATCTCGTTTTTCTTCTCGGTCTAAGACCATTTGTTCTTCGTTTCGAGTCTTCAAGTCTCCGCCCATCCAGCGCCAAAGCATGTTGTCCAAGAACTGAGGATCATCACCTTCAAGCGAGCTCGGTGACCCGAGAGCAACTTCGCAAAACGATCAAAACATAGTAGAATAACATGCGTTGCATTGCGTTGCATTGCATTGCGTTACCTTGCTGATTTGTGCTGCGAAACCAGAGCCAAAAAACCTTGGGCTATCTGAGTCTCGTTTTAGTCTCTGGGGCTGTCACTGATGAGGACTTGGCCTGTCAGTTGGGAGCTTGTTGAGCTTTCCTGGCGACATGAGCTTTCCTCGAGTCTCGCGGTAGATCACTCGTGAATGCAAAGATCGCCGAGTGCACCCATGACGTAGTTGCAAACCTGAAGGCAAAGAAATCCTCAATCCTAAGCCCTCGTGATTGTGTTTTCGATCACCTTCAGATCTGAGAACTGCGCTGGAGAGGAAAGGCGCGGCGCTTTTCCGCCTTAATCGAAGCTGCAAATCTGAAATACAAATGATAAGTTCATTTGAACAACCATCGAACATATGTCTTATGGCTCTGGCGACACCTCGCGGAGCTTCTACACCCTCCACCCTGGAGTAATGCAGCACAGCAATTTGCAGCGAATTTGGTGCTGCAATCGTTTGGTTGAGCAAACCTCTCCACAAGTAGTTGCCAGATCTAAATTTTGCCAGAGCCACACCGGTCGCCAAGGGCAAAGGCCTTGATCTTTTGAACATTTGCAGCACAAACTTTCCTGAATTTTTAGGCACGAGCTGAGATCACCGTTTCTGTCTCTGACAACCTCGCCAACACCTAGGACGAATTGGAGCAAAAGTGTTGGCCGCGGCCTGTTTGGGATTTAGGGTGCAAAACACTGACTCTTCAGATGTCTGGGAATGGTCTGGCATGTTCGAGGACGCCACAAGTAACTCGAGAACCGTGTAGAAGTGCACTTTCACAAAACTCCAAAGTACCTTCAAGATATAACAAGCAACGTTCACCCGTGGCAAAAGGATCTACCACAACATTGAAAACAATGCCAGCATAGACCCCAAGCAGTTTCAGCATTATTTGCTTGGCGTCAACTGCTTGAATTCCAATGTTGGTGGTAACGTCTGTTATATTTTGGGAGTGGCATGTAAACCAAAAGTGTTGGAAAACAATAGTTCCTGACTCCCGAGGTCACGTGCGCCAACATGAAGGGATACATGTCATGAGAAAATCCGAGGATATCAAACGCTGCATCACTGCATTCATAGCCACACAAATCACAAAAACATACCACAAGGCGGTGGAGAAAGGCCCACGGCACCGGCCCATGGCGGCAGGACAGACCCAAGGCGACGACCGGACGAGGCTGAACTGTTTGGGGAACGGGAGGACGGCGCGGCCAAAGGACAGGACACCACGATACACCAAGACAAAACAAGGACAAGTATTCGCGAGCGCCAAAGGACAACTGGACAACACCCGGCCACAACAGGGCTAAGTGTCTGTTTTCAGAAGGGCACAGGATTGGCAAGCGTGGGAGGACACCAGTAAACTGTTTGGGAACAAGGGTAAGTAGTACCACTTTCACTGTCCAATGTTAGAGAAATCGTTTCCATTTTATTGTAAATCTGAAACTAATGCAAAGGGTGAGGCGAAGCGAAACAGGCAGTTTCACTGCAATGACTAATCTTTATCTCAATGTTTGTCCATGTTGCTCAAGGGTCTTAAATTCTGGCATCGTTTCACTTTGTTTCTTGGAACTGTGGCCTTGTGTCCCAAGGTCTACGCAGCTCATGGCATTGCACGAAGCATCCTGAGCTGTCAAGCTTCCAAAGACCCGGAGAATCGCCGATGGCTTCGTCACTTCGTTGGTCTAAGGAATTGACGATGCCATGGATCAGGTGTGCGAGGGCAAATCCTCGCCAAGGTTCCGGCACTTCCTCAGCACATTCTTCAGCAACGATTAATTACCTGACCATTCTTCAGCCTCGAAGTCTACCTTAGCCCCTTGCAGAGAAGGCGGCCTCTTTGTAAAATCTCCTTAGCTTAGCTTCAAGGTTGGAGCATCTCTCTTGTCCATTGGCATCACCTCGAGATTAGTTTGTTCTGGAAAGCAGCATGAAATAAACTGGACTGAGATAGAGGCCCACGGCTCATTTGGAAGAGGGAGACATCGTGGCCATGCACGGAAATCTGAAAATCAAGATGTCTCAATTCCAACATGCAGCTAGAAGCTACTAGGAACAAGTGCATCGCTTCTAGTAACAAGTGCCTTA